ACTCATAAGCTCCTGTCCTCCTTCCATGGCCTTTTCCTGGATTGTCCTTCTTTATCCAATATTTTTTTAATATTTATTTTTTAGTTGTAGGTGGACACAATACCTTTATTTTATTTTTATGTGGTGCTGAGGATCGAACCCAGTGTTTCACGCATGCTAGGGGAGAGCTCTACATCTGAGTCACAACCCAGCCCATTTATCCAATCTTTTAAAGTCTGATTTCTAATTCTAGGATTAGCTGAGAGGAGGGATCTCATAGTTCCTATTTTAGACAAATTCCTGCTGATATTCATTTTCTGCTCTGCTTGTCTACCTCTCTCCCTGTCATTAGCTCTAGTAATTCTAGCACTGGCTCCAATGTAAATTCAAGTATTTATAATTCAGAGCCTAATTTAATTTTTTTTGGTACCAGGGATTTGAACCCAGGGGTACTTAACCACTAAGCCACATCCCCAGCTCATTTTTTATATTTAAATTAGAGACAGGGTCTTGCTGAGTTGCTTAGGGCCTCACTAAGTTGCTGAGGTTGGCTTCGAACTCATGTTCCTCCTGCTTCAGCCTCCCAAGCTGCTAGGATAACAGGTGTGTGCCACCATGCCCAGCCTTAATTTATATTTATTTGTAAAATAGGACCTATGAGCCAAGAATTGTCATTTCTGAAGGGAGAAATGTACTTGTATGCTGTGAAGTGCAGGTGGCCTTGTGTGTGTGTGTGTGAGAGAGACAATAGCACTGTAACAAAAGACCAGACAGCCCTGACCTCAGTGTTAGAGGACCTTGTGCTGCAGTAGCCACTGAGCAGCACTTGACCTGAGGCTCCATTAAAAAACATAGTGTGTTAGAAGACAGAGGTGCTTTACAGTGATCATTCATTCAGCTGATATTTGTTGTGTACTGGATATGTGACACGCTATTTTTTTTTTTGCATGTGGGAACCTTATTGAAGGAGAAATAGAAAAATTGCCTACCTTGTACAGCATGTGTCATAATGGGAAGAGGCAGAGGATACACTCTAGGCAGAGTAAGGAAAATGTTGATGTTAGAAGGTGGAAAGTATTATGGGAAAGGTGATCCCAGTGTGTGGGGACAAGGAAGATGACTGTTTTACTAAGATGGTCAGCATGGAAATCACTGGGAAGGAGATCTTTGAAGCTTTGAAGAATACGAGGAATCATTCCTTGAGGGTGTCCAGAACAATTTTTTTCCAGGCAGGAGAAACTTTAGGGCAAGTGCACTGGGGCAGGAGTGTATCTACATGTTCTGGGAAGAATAAGGAAGTGGAGTGTCTGAAGCAGTCACTGAGATTTGGATGGTGGTTTAACCAGATCATGAGTCCTGGAGGATGCTGGAAGATTTTGTACTTTTTCTCTGAGTAATAGGGAGTTGGAAGTCAGTTTGAGCAGAAGAGGACCACCATGTGATTTGTTTTGTAACAGAAATGTGTTGTAATAGGAACTGTGGTTTCTCTGCTGAGAAGAGAATCTTGAGGTTGCATAACTAGGTTGCAGCAAAACTGCAGGGGACTACTAGTGTTCTGTTTTGGATGCAGACGTGGGTCCCCTCAGCAGAGATGTGAGCAATGAAAATGGTGAGAGTGATCAGATCCTGGATCTATTTTGAAGATGGACTTTTCAGCATTTCCTAATGGACCGAATCTGGAATGTGAGAAAGGAGTCAAGGAGGACATCAGTGATTTTCGACTGTGGAATAAGCTGGAAGACTATGGAAGGGGCATACTTGAGGATAACTGAAGATGGAGTCGTGGGTGCCGTGGGTGGAACAGGAGGGGTCAGAGTATTGAGAAGAGAAGATGAGGAATGCCAGGGGTCACACACAAATTTACTAACTGAATTTTTTGGACCCTACTTTGCTACTGTAATCAGAGCAAGGGCGGTGAATGACCCCAGGTCCGGGTTGGAGGTCACGACCCTTTCACATCCCCCACAGGTATCCTGGGTACAAGATGCAAAAATCCATGCACCAGCAGCAAGTGGTGTTCTTCCACTTGGAGTTTCCTTATTTGTGGATGGAATGAGGGAGGACCATATTCATTTCTGGCATTTCCATCTGGAGTTTACTTTGCCTCAAAGGCTGAAGCAATGAAAAATAACTATGTGAATGGGAAACCTTTCCTTGAAAAAAGCTTTAATAAACATCTGGAGCTTGAAGATGCTGTTGAGGCCTCTGAACCCCAAAGGAAAGCTTTGAAGGGAAAATTACAGAAGATATTATAGAAGTTGAGATCTACAATGAAACTGGATTTAGGGGGCTTATTCCAGCTGAAGTTAAGTATTACTTAGAAGCCATTGCATAATAATAAAGTGACTGAAAAATCCAGAACTTCAGATAATCTATCTACTTACCATGTTTAAGCTATGTTTTGTTTTTCAGACTTTTGTATACTTATTTCTGCGTTGTTTCATGAAGTTACACTTTCATAATAACACTTATAAATCATAATGAATTATTAAGTCCAAAATAAATAAAATAACTTGCTCTAAATCTAATTTTTTTGTAAGCTCATAGCTAGCTACAAAGCAAAAACCTATGGTACGTGCGATAAAAAAAACAAACAATCCCCCCCCAAACAAAAACAACAACAAGATACTCTCTAAATAAATAAGGACACTGAAGTAACTGCTTTCACGCCTTACAATGCTATGAATTAGTTAGTTCAGTTTTTGGAATTTATGCATATGGAATCATATAGCATCTGCTTTTTTTGTGTCTAAGTGGTATTGATGAAATGTATATATGTATGTATTTTTAGTGAGATCGTCTGTATTTTGTGTATTGCAATAGTTTGTTCATTTTCATTCTGTAAATATTCTGTTCTCTATTTTTAAATCTCTCCACTAGTGCAGTCTGCCAAAAGCCCTACTATACTTCTTGGACTCCTAGTTACCACTCTGACTTTGACAAATACTTTGAAGCAGAGTGTTACCAAATACTGACATCACATACCTAGCATTTCCCTCTCTGAACTCTGGTCTCATGGAGTCTTCAGTGCTTTGGTGGCTCTGCGGTGTCTTTTTTTTTTTTAAATATGTTTTAGATGTTGATGAACCTTTATTTTATTTATTTATTTATTAGTTTTCGGCGGACACAACATCTTTATTTGTATGTGGTGCTGAGGATCGAACCCAGCGCCGCGAGCATGCCAGGCGAGCGCACTACCGCTTGAGCCACATCCCCAGCCCTCTGCGGTGTCTTAATGTGGATGTGGAAACTTGTGTGTGTTTTTTTAAAGGTACAGTAAGAATTTCTAAATCTTTATGTTATAATTAGTTTACTCATGATGAAAACTGCATACGAATCAATTTACAAATTCAATCCAGTAAGAAAGGAAGAATCCCTCGGCAGACTAACTGACCAAAAATGCCACTTTTTTTTTTTTTTCTCACAAGTGAATAAGGCCAGTGAATTTGTTTAAATAATGGCTTAGAACAATCACAAGTTAGGGATGATTTCTCTGTCTTGATGTTCATGACTTAAAAACAATAACACACACACACACACACACACACTCACTCACACTTCGCAATTAAATATGTACATTTGGAGTTTTCTCAATTTTCAGGAGGGATGCTGTGTGGCCTTGAGGAAGTCTTGGTTTTTATGTTAGTCAGATTTGCAAAAATACCTGACAAGAACAACTACAACTACACATTATGTAGCTCTCTTTCACCTCTCCATTCTGTTCTATACCCTTTTGCCAGTACCATATTCTATTTGATTAATGTATCTTTATAAAAAAATCTTAAAATAGTATTACATAATCTTCAGTGGTATGTTTTCATTATAATTCAGTTCAAAATATTTTCTAATTTCTCTTAAGTTTTCTTCTTTGATTCAGGTTATTTTGAAAGGTGCTTTTGAATTTTCAAATATTTATTTTCTCCCTCTAGATAAGTTGATTTTGATTTCCAATAAAATCTGTTTTGTCCTCAAACATACTATGTACGACTTCAGACTTTTGAAATTTATTGTTGACTCATTTTAGTGAATATACTTAGGCACTTTAAAAATTAGTATAGTTCCCAAAAGAAGACATACATATGGCAAAATAGGTATTTCAAAATAGGTATTTAAGACTTTTGAAATTTATTGTTTTCTTCCCCAATAGATTTAACAATATAATTTATTTTACATAGGTTTAGATATTAGGTGTCCACCAAAAGCTCATGTGTGAGTCAATGCAAGAAAGTTTAGAGGTAAAATGATTGGGTTATGAGACTCTTAACCTAATGCAGGCATTCATTCCCTGATAGGGATTAATTGGATGGTAAGTAACCGTAGGGAGATAGGGTGTGGCTGGAGGAGGTGGGCCCCTAGGAGTGTGTCTTTGGGGTTTATATTTTTCCTCTGATGAGGGGAACTCTTTCTCTCTGCTTTTTGGATCCATGTCCTCCTCCACACTCATTTGCCATGCTATTCTGCCTTATCTTGGGCTCAGAGCAGTGGAGCTGCGTATCTATGGACTGTGACCTCTAAAACTGTAAGTGCCAAATAAACTTTTCCTTCTCTAAAATTGTTCTTGTCAGGTCTCTTGGTCATAGCAGTGAAAAAATACTTTTTCTTGGTATTGGGGATTAAACCAGGGACCTTTACCCTGAGCTACATCCCCAGTCCTTTTTATCTTTTATTTTGAGGCAGGATCTCACTAAGTTGCTGAGGCTGGCCTCAAACTTGTGATCCTCCTGCCTCAGTATCACCATGCTTGGCTTTATTGTATATTTTTTAAACCAGAAGAAAGATTTTGAATGTTTTCACTATAAAAGAAATGAGTGCAGGGATTTAGTTCACTGGTAGAGTGTATGAGGCACTGAGGGAAAAAAAAAAAAAAAAAAGAAAATTCCCTGAGAGTCTTTTTAAGCTAGACAAGATGGTACATGTCATTCAGGAGACTGAGGTAGGAGGATCATGAGTTTGAGGCCAGCCTCTGGAATTTAATGAGATCTTGTCTCAGGTGAAAAAAAAAAAAAGGTTGGTGCTGGGAATGTACTTCAGTGGTAAAGTGCTCCTGGGTTCAGTCCTCAGTACCATCAAAAAGAAAAAAAAAATTGATGAGGAAATGTTTAACCTGATATAAACATTACATAATGTATATGTATATACACATTATGCATAGAAACATCATATGGCACCCCATAAATATGTCTAATTTTTATGTATCTGTTAAAAAGAAATATAAAGTGACATATAGTTGAGGTGTTCTGTAGTGGTCAATTAGGGCAAAATGGTTAATATTGTTCATTTGCATTTTAAAGAAACTAAGATAAAAAGAATATTTTTTCCCCAATAGACTTAACAATTCTCATGTTATTTTTCCTATCTGTTGGTTCAGGTCTCCATCTGGTATGATTTCTTTCAACCTGAGATATTTCTTTAGTACTTTCTTTGTAGTGTAGTTCTATCTACAATACTGAGCAAGTGTTTCTGCTTCTTGCACTAAAGATGGGCTCTGTCCACCCAGCAGCCTCTGTCAGCAGCTTTCTCCAGAAGAAGCCTGAAGTCTTAGAGATAAGCCAAGAGCAGGTAGTGTTTCTGACAAAGAGAATGGAAAACCCACATCTGGGAGGGAAGTGACTAAACTGGAGGCCTGGCCATCACAGGTGCTCTGGGGATGAAGTGTCAACAAAACGATGATGACAAATGAAGGAAAGTGGAGAAGTGGACATGTGACCAGACCTCTGCTAGTGTCCTGTTTCCTGTTGCTCTGACTGCTCCAGGGGAAATTACCTGAAGGAAACACACTATTCCGTCGTCATGTTGGTCTTTCCTGTTATTCAAGCAAATAGCCTGCAGATGGCGCACTAGCCATTCGATTTTCTGGTCCCCATTTTCCTCCCCTTCTTCAAAGGGGAAGTCAGAATCACTGGGGGAAAAGGGAGGATTTGGAGGTACAAATGATCACCATTGACAATTTTTTCATCTGAGCTGGGGTTTCTTTGCAAGAGTGAGAGCACAATTTAGAATGGACAAAATTGCCCTGAAAACAGCCAGAAGAATGTGAAATAGCTTTCCTTCCACAGGGACTTCTGAGCCTGAGCTGGGGCTGTTAGGAGAGTCTGAGAGGTGCTGAACAGTCAACAAAAAACATACACCAGAGCTGCGCTTTCTCTTTAGAAGAAAGCAGCACTGGCATCCTCAAAAATAATTATCAACAGATGAAATAATATCCTGTTTGGGATTTTTTCAAAAAGACCCAGTGTGGTTCTGGGTAGGGAAGGAGGTGCATCAAGACTGGAGAGCTTCATGGCTATGGCTGAGTGCAGGGAATGGGACTTCCCTGTACTCTTCTCTCCATTTGTGTGTGTGCTTCACGTGTCCTTAGTAGATTTCAAAATAAGGATCTAGATATCTGTGTTTACTTAAAGGAACTGAATTTTATGACCATCTGTCCATCCATGCCATCCTGTCACCACACAGTGCCAGTGTCTAGCTCTGCTGGGCATTTCTCAGCCTCTGATGTCCAATGTCTTCTGCCCTCAGCATCCCTGGGAAGAGGAGAATTGCTTAAGGGATTCAGATAAAAAGGCACTGACTCTGGGAAAGCAGAAGCGTTTTAATTGCATGTGTTTGCAACCAGCAAACCATCTGTTGAGTTGCATTTCTATGTGTGGGCCTTGCTCTGTTAAAGTCATGGGGCTTCTAAGGGACATGGCAGACAAAGTGAGAAGCTTTCTCTTACCCTGTGAGGTTCAGATGGCCAGATGCAGGTGCACCTCTGCTTGGTGAGTACTGGTCTTTGCTTCCTTGGGTTTGGGCTGTCGTGTTGGAGGTCTCTGTGAGATCAGTAGTTTTGATGCTGTGCATCAGTGAGAGTTTTAGAAGCTCTAACAAAACCCCTCTTGCATTCTAGAAATTAAAAAAAAAAAAGGATCCAGGTAACTATGACAGGTGGAGGCATCATGTTTCTCACATTTGTGAAAGCATCAGAGATACTGGCTTTAATTTCAAATCAAAGCTTCAATAAAAATACATTTGAAATGAAATTATAGGGACAAGATGCCTTTAGATATCTCCAAACTCCTCATTTTCCTCCTCAAAACTTGGTTTGGTCACTCCAGGAGTATGTGTGTGTGTGGTGGTGGTGGTGGGGAATTTTAAGTACTCCATTGAGATCAGTTGCAGGAAAGAGGACTAGCATTAGCTGAAGGGTCAGCAGAAACACCTGGAAGGTCCCTGTTGCCAGGACATTTTTTCCATTCTCTGAAAGTATGACAAGATTCGAGATCCTTGGTTTTCAGGGGTCCTATTTACCCCTTTTCCCAAGCTGAGGCACGGTGATGTGGGATACAGATCAGTGAGTTTTGATTGGGGCAGGTATTGTGCGAAGTTGGTGGCCTCAGATTGTGGAAGTCATACACATCCATGGAAGGGATCAGAGCCTCTAAATAGAATGTACCCATTGCCTGAGACATGAGAAACTGGAGACCAGGAATTGAAGGATTCACAGACACCAGCCCCCACCAGTAGTCATGGCTCCTCTGCCTCTTGCTTCAACTGTGTGAACTCTCTGGAAGCTTTCAGATTGTGTTGAGGCCTGAAGTGAGATGACCCTGAGACTGAGGAGGATGAAGCTCAGGGCCCTCCACTTGCTCAGGGCCCCTCCACTTGCTCAGGAGCTCTCACTTGCTTAGGGCCTTCTTAACCATCTTTTGCTTTTGTGTGTAATACTATATTTATATTTTTGGATTCTTTTCTTTCTTAAAGAAGATTTCCAAGTTATATAAGCATCAGTCTGCAAAAACTTTGGGTCTCAGGTGGGTGTGGTGTCACATGCCCATAGTTCCATTGCCTCAGGAGGCAGAGGCAGGATGATTGCAAATTCTGGGCCAGCCTATGCAACTTAGTGAGAACTTGTCTCAAAATAAAAATAAAAAAGGTGGGATGTAGCTCAGTGGAAGAGTGCTCCTGAATTCAATCCCCAGTACTGTAAAATAAATAATAAAAACCCTTGAATCCCCCTAATTACATACAGATCTCTGACCCTCATCTGTAAATTTCACAAGTGAAAAGTAAATGGCTTCTTCTCCTCTTCTCCCCAGTTACCCTATTGCCATCTCCTAAGGAACTGCTTTTTATCGTTTTTTTTATGGATCTTTCCAGAGATTGAGCATGGATTTAAACCCCTATTCTGTTCTCTAATTGATAAAGATTATTTCCATCAGGATTTGTGAATTGCTGAGGAATTTGATGAAATGTGAGTTGGTGCTACTCATTGCCCTTTCAAACAAGGAGTTGTTCCTGTGGGAGCCCAGGCAGTGACTTAGCATGAGGGTGACCCACACCTCTGACCATGTCAGCAACTATATTTCTCAGGGAACACTTAAGATAAGTTCTGCCCTGTGGTTTTCACTAGATTTGATATTAAACTTTGTTTTCGGAGCAGATCCACTTCCTAGGTCCCATGTGCTGCTTTCACTCAACCCTGGATAATGCCTCAGTTACCAGCAGAGACCAGGGATCCTGTCTGGATCCTGGCTGGTGGGATTTGGCCACCAGCTCCAATTAAGAACTAGGCAAGTAATGGAAAAAGAAAAATGAATTTTATGCAATTCACTCAAACTGGGAGGAAGCAGCTCCTTCCTGGCTACTAGTAGCATCTTCATTCTAGACAATGGAAATGGGATGGAAATGAGACTTGGCACCTGACCTAGAGTCTATGCCCAGTGGACTTGAGAAGGAAGGACAAGATGGAAACATCTTATGGGAGTGTTTATTTTCTTATTTGGACAAAGGACTTGAATGGCTTATATCATAATGCACAATTATAGTGGGGAAATTAGAAATAAACAATAAAAATCCACATTACAGGGCAGAGATCTCGATACTCTGAGGATGTGAGACAGTCAAGCATGATGTTCAGCACCAGCTATGGTTCTCAGGTTTCTGGCACCTGAAGGGTAAGAGAAACAAATGGGGAGTGCAGCAAATCTCCAGAAAAGAAAAAAATTATGATGTATTTAAAGAAGAACTAACTATGTAGATTTGTAAATAAAATGATATTGTGTAAAAAAACTGAAAATCATTCACAATTATTAGGCAGAAAAAGTATAAAGTCTTTAAAAAATGTTTACTTGAAACACCTTCCAGAGAGAGATTGAGATTAAACAATAAATACTTAACTTGGTGAAGCCCTATTCATGGAGATCTAAGGAAATATGGCCTAGGAAATGTCCTTTCCACTATCTGAATGAATTCACAGGAATGGTGAGTCTGGAGTGGAGCGTGCTGGTGTATGGACAGTTTTCACTGAGAGCGTCACTCCTGCAGCTCAGGATCCCAGGTGAAGTGAGAGCTGCAGAGCTGCCAGTCACTGGGAAGCACTCTATGCCTCCTTCAGATTCTCACTCAGAATAACCTTGCACCTGCAACCCCTGGGAAGAGGAACCAGGGAGCCGGGAAGTGCCATTGAGGCTAAACCAACATCCTTGCACTGGATCAAGGTTCAAGCACAGGTCTGGATCCTAGACTCCCTCTTGTCTGAAGCACATGGCCCATGAGGAACACTTTGGTCTCAGAATCCCCAATAAGGGATTTTTCCCCCCAGTGAGTTGCTTTCCATGGAAATAGTCTGAGCAATGCACCTCTCTCATGACCTTGGCACTGCTGACCTTCCTGCCTGGAGGGCTTCTCCCAGGTCTCCCAAGGCATCCTCCCTCACTTCTCTCCTGTCTTTGGTCTCGGTGTTGCCTGACTTCTAGAAAATTCCAGTCTCATACTTATTACCTTCTACATACCTTTTCTGCCTTGATTTTTCTCCACAGCATAAATCATGACCTGATAAACCACACCACTGTCATTTAATTTATTCTGTCTCCTAATCTCCTAAAACTATAATGAACACCCCATGAAGTATGGATTTTTGTTATTTTTAAGCTATTTTCCCAGAACAATTACAATATTGCCTGCCAGATTGTGTGTGTGTGTGTGTATATATATATATATATATATATATATATATATTTGTTGAATGAAAGAATCTGAATATATTTTATTTTTGATATGATGGTCACATCAAAAGTCCTCATCAAGATAAATAACTATAGGGTAAAAGGTAGATCCTTTTAGTGGAAGCAATTTGTTTTAAAATTTTTGTGTTCATTTTTTGTTTTGTTTTATTGTTATTGTTTTTTTCTGAGGATAATAATATAAAACTGTGTTTACTCACCCACTTGACTCAGTTTTCAGCTCATACTTCATTAGATTAGACCTACTTCTGAGAATCCTTTGTTTTTTTGGTGTTCAAGGACCTTGAATTCTCTATATGCACTTTATCCCTTGAGTTTAGACCCAATCTTGCCAATACCCTTCATGGTTAAGGATAAGGTCAGAGAAATGAAAGTATGAAATGAATTTATGTTCCAGTTTAGATATGAGGTGTTCCCAAAAGGCTCATGTGTGAGACAATGCAGGAAAGTTTAGAGATCTAATGTTTGGGTTATGACAGCCCTAACCCTATTAGTGCATTAATATACAGACATGATTAACTGGGTGGCCGGGGTGGGGGGGGGCAGTAACTGCAGGCAGGGACAGTGTGGCTGGAGGAGGTAGGTCACTGGGGGCATGCTTTTGGGGTTTATATTTTGTCCCTGGTGAGCAGAACTCTGCTTTCTGTTGCCATAACCTGAGCTGCTTTCCTCTGCCAGGATGTTCTGCCTCACCTTGGACCCAGAGCAATGAAGTTGGCCATCTATGAACTGAGATCTCTGAAACTGTGAGATCCAGATAAACTTTTCCTCTTGTGATTGTTATTGTCAATTCTTTTGGTCATGGTGATGGAAAAACTGACTAAAACAATGAGAATTCCTTAAAGCTAATGTCCCCAGACTCCTGCTAAGATCTCAGGATGGACGAATCACTGGATTGATTCATGTGGTGGTCCAAGTCCCAGCAGGAACAGACAGAACAAATGACAGGAACTTGGCTTCTAAGTTCCCATCCAGTTGACTAAGGGCAATAATACTTTTGTGGGTCTACCCTGGACCTGGGATTCAGATGTTATGGGTTGGAGACCTTTCCTGCCTTGTGCTCATTCAGTGAACAGGAAATATGAATGTTTTAGGAAACACGTTGCACCTGGCAACGTGTAGGAAGGCCCCAGAGTGCAGAGCTCTGTCCTGGTGCTGGGATCCCAAAGTATCCTTTGTAGGAGGGAAAAAGCCGAACTGGATTTCTGTGTTCAGCGTTGTGGCCACACGGGGGCGCTGTCACATTACTCTGAAATTTTGCCTGAGCAGCCCAGGAGAGAGCTGGGCTGTGAGTGGGTTGGAGGTTCCACCCTGGGGTTGGGTGTCAATGGGGATGAAGAAGATTCTGAGGAGCCCTGGACTCCTTGAGGTCCAGGTCAGGATGTGGCAGAGACTGAAGAAGAAAGCTCAGGAGACCTTACGCTCTCCCAAAGGCTTCTATCTTCTCTCTGCTACCCACCTTTTTAGCTTCCTGGCAATACCCCATTACATACGACAAGGAGAAACTTTCCCCTCTACTCCCTATTTCTGTTTTTTGAAGCTCAGTTTTAAGAATTTTCCTATTCACTAGGTTTTAAAATAAGATCACATCTTATTTGGGAACATTGTCTTAATATCCACCTAATATCCTACAATGTGGACATGCACACTGGCACTATCAGGACAAAGGGCATAGCCTCTCTCCTCCTTGGGCCTCTGGTACCCACAGCAGGGCAGAAGAAAGTCCTGTCCTGGAGTCAGACATGTTCCCAGGAGTCTCACCTCCAGCAGCAGGTGCCACAGGACCTGAGCCCTGGGGTGGGTGCCCTCTCTTCTTACAGGACAGGAGTAAATTATGCATCCTTTCAGGATGTCCCTTCATCTTGTATCTAACAGAAGCCTGGGTCTCCCTGAGGACCCAGCCCCTCTCAAGATCTCTCCACATGGTGCTTCCCCTGGGACATTGCACTCCTGGGTTAGGAGGTGAGGTGGAGACCTTATTCCCCATTGTGGTTCTCAGACCTTTCTGCTTCTTTGATTTCTTTCTTTCTTTCTTTTTTTTTTTTTTGTGAGAGAGAGAGAGAGAGAGAGAGAGAGAGAGAGAGAATTTTTTAATATTTATTTTTAGTTTTTGGTGGACACAACATCTTTTTTTTTTTTTTTTTAATGTGGTGCTGAGGATCGAACCCAGCGCCCCACGCATGCCAGGCGAGCTCATTACCGCTTGAGCCACATCCCCAGCCCTGCTTCTTTGATTTCTACCATTCCCTAACTTGTCACCAGAGTAGAGCTCCCATTCCCCTCATTGTTACTATTCCCCAATTCATTCCCCTATTTCTGGGCTCTTTGCTCCTGGGTCCCTGTCTCCTCTCCAACAGCAATGTCTCCTTGATCCTCATGGATTTCAACACAAGCAGAATTGGTGACTGAAGAATGAGCCCCAAAGATGCCCAGGTCCTAATCCTTAGAACAGTGAATAGGATGCATCACATGGCAGAGGGGACATTGCTGATATAATTAAGGTTAAGGACCTGAAAATAGGGAGATGTTCCTGGATTATCTGGGTGACCCATCAAATCACATGAATCCTTAAAAGCAGACACCTTCTCTGGCTGGAGTCAGAGAGATGCTGCAGAAGAGGCAGGCAGAGGGGACATCAGAAACAAATGAGAGGATGTCAGAGGTTTCAGTGAGAGAAGGATTGGTATGTGCTCTAGGGGCTATGTGTGAGGGCTAGAAAGAGAGCTCTAGGAGCTAAATATGGCTCCCAAATTACTTTCAGCAAGGAACTGGGAGTCTTAGCCCTACATCTGCAAGGAACTGAATTCTAACATCCTGAATGAGCTTGGAAGCTTATTTATTCCTAGAGCTTACAGTAAGTTTCACAGACCTTCTGACACCTTGACCTTAGCCCTGTGAGACCCATTACTGGACTTGGGAATTCATAACTGTCAGGTCATAAATGGTGCTGGCTAAAGCTGCTTAGGTTGTGGTAATTTGTGTGGCTCCAGGAGCTCTGTGAAGACTGGAAAAAATGATGTCCAACTCTCAACAGATGGAATACAGAGGCTGAGGGAAGTGGGGGTGTGGAATGTAGAGATTTTGGGAAGGCATCAGACCCATATTTTGTTAGAGACCCAGCAGGCCCCCCACTTTTACCACAGTCTTCAGAAACGAGCTGGTGACAGGGACCTGCATTGCTAAAAAGTTTGGGGTGCTGTTCTCTGCAGGCTGTGGATAAAGGTAGTAAAGGTGATCCCAGAGTTAGGCTCATTAATACCTAAGGAGAAATCCTGGCCCTGAAGAGCTGGAGACCAAGTGGTGGCAGTTAACTAGCATAAGTGAGAGGAAGCCACCACAGTAACCACAGAGCAGAGGCCAGAAGCACTCCACCTGCAGAGGGCGGTGGAGAAGGTCCATGAAGGGTAGTGTCCTTAGGGTCAAAACAGACAGTCAGCCTGCAGAACAGTGCTCAGTATCTGTGATAAAAAAGCAGTTAAAGATCAGAAGGCTGAAGGTGTTTGAGCCAATTAAAAACAAATTATTTCCATTCTCAATTTCCAAATCTGAGCCAATGTTCAGATTCCAAACTGTGATGTTGTCCATATCTGAAAATGTGATGATGTCCACATCTGAAGGAAGAAGGACCTGGAATATCATGGTGAGTATATACAGTGACAATTTCCTCAGTCCTTCTACCAAGGAACCCCACTGATTTGTCCGGGAGACTATACCAGGGGAAGGTGTCGGGAGCTGCACTGGATGCAGACATTTTGAAGTCCTGAAGCAGGAGGCTCTGAACAATTACTGCAATAGTCTGGCAATAGTGACAGACCCCAGTAACTTGGGGGTTGCCCAGCTCGAATATCAAGGCATGGCTCCAGGAGTAGGTGGTACCCACTAGGGTTGAATTACACTCAACTATTCCTTTGTAATCCTATGCCTTTGCCCTTTGGAATAGAATGTTCCATGGAACCTCCCTATATAAGAATAAAAAATTCCAGTGGCTCTCTTCTTTCCACAGACCCCTAAGGTCAGAGGAGCTCTCACAGGACCCCCCCCCCCCCAAAATGTATTTCTCTGTCTCTGTGTGATTTTTTGTGCCAGCCCAGTTCACCTGGAGTTACCTTGAGTGTTTAGTCATGGGACTTGACAGGAAAGAAACAGGCAGAATGCTAAGGAGTATTGTGCATTGAGATTGAGTTGATATAGACACCAGCCTCCCACAACGTCAGGTCTGCTCATTACAGTGGGGGCCTGCAGACCAGTAATTAACATGAACAAAATCTGGCTCACCATGGGGCTCCTGGGTCTGCAAACACCCAGATTATTTCTTCAAGTGCATAATTAACCCTTGAAATTGGATGAACCCCACACTAGGCCCTTGGCTTTGGAGAAAGGATCTCACTGTGCTAAAGCAAAATGGAAACCTCTGACACTGCCCACTGACCTGCATTTCTAGGAAGCAAATGAAAACCTCTGACCTGCATTGCTAGGAAGTTTGGGGTGCTGTTCTCTGCAGGCTGGGGATAAAGGTAGTAAAGGTGGAGATTGGAGCCACCATCAGAGAGATGAAGGGTGCAAGCATGGTAGCACGTGCTAATAATTTCTCTCTGAACTATTTGAAACCCCTAGGCTCTACAATACTGTGAAACTATCTGGACATCTTGAATTTCATTAGAATATAAAATCTGTTCATTTCATTGTAACACCAGATTGTCTGGGATGGATGAGCACGTCATGGTAAGACACGTGAATTCCAGAATGTGGACAATAAACCTCATGGAGAGCAAAGCTGCTTAGCTTGGGGGCATGCCCTGGTCCTGAGTGTCTGTCGCTCC